TGTTTGTGATAATCAAAACGAGATGTCAACCATAAGTCAACAGTAATTGGTGTCCCAAACCTTTCATCTTGATTGCAGTTGAAGGATAAATTGATGGATTCCGCTAATCAACCAAAAAAAAAATTGGCCATATTTTGACCAAATTTAAAAGGGTAAAATTGTAATTTTATATTTATCCAATAAAATAAATAACAAATAAATAAAAACAAAAAATGAGAAAAAAATAAAATGAACTTATAATTGTTCATCTTCCCCAAAGCACCCCCACCTCAACCAACCCCACCATGGAGCTACAATTTTGATCAATGCTGAATTTTCCACTTCCATTAACAACATTTTATAAAGGGAACACAAGCTAACCATTTGCAGCATAAAAATCAATTGAGAAACTCAAATTAAAGTTTCAAAGGAAAATAAATAAAATCCTGCTACATGTACATAAATGGTCGATAATTTTTTTGACACATTGCTAGCTGACAAGATTTCATTGGTTGCTGGACAAAAATTACAGTTGAATAAGTTAATGCAGTGTTGCCACTTGTACATATGTAATACTTTCTGTAAACTTCATATGTACAAGGAGTTAAATTCAAATAAATAACAATAGAACCTCTTCAACAGCTTTTTCACGGAGGCTATCTAATAAATTCAATACTTTGATCTTGAATTGCGCTTCTCCTAGTTTCATTTCTTTATCTACAAACCACAAAATACTAATCAAAATACCATTGTTTCACATATTTAAACGACCTTATATATCCATTTCTTTTTCAACAATCTCTAAGAAACGACAGCATTTCTTACTATAGGACATTAAAAATTTAGGGGATCTAGTAGGATAGACTAATCTCTAACTTCATTTTCGAGGCGATTGAGCTCCAACTTCATCGGATTCGAGTTGTGGAGCCAAGTTTATGAAGTTATCAGAGTCCATATTAGGTTAGAGTGATGCTCTTTGCCACAATGAACAAAGCTGTCATTATCCACTAGCATACAGCTAAGGCCATTGCGAGCTATTATAGACCGCAGTACCATTACATCATAGTTGGGATATATGACTATTAAAATTAATTGGAAGAAATGCAGGTTGAGAATTTCCTCGAATCTAGAAGTTCTACAATATGGGCTTCTCAGTAGTTCAAACATCATTCTTTTGTGCATTTGTTATTTCCCCGCCAACATAAGGACCTCCGATAATAATATGAATATCTTTTATTAGAGGTTGGGAGTCATTTGTTTTTTTCTCGCCAACATAAGGACCTCTAATAATACTATGAATCTCTCTTATAACATGTCAAGAATGTTGGTTGCTTACTGGTGCTCACGAGGAGTCCGCATGTGTTAACTTGCCTCCTCAACCTCGACATCGCCCTCGCCCTCGCCCTCGCACTCTAGTGCTTGAGTAAGGAGGCTTTCAGTTGTCAGATCCTTCACATGTCTCATCTTGCTGACTTTGAAGCTTTACCATCCTAATTACCTAGAAATATTCATCCGTATAGTGGTCTCTGTTACAATGAATTTTACAAAATTTTACCTTTTGATTTTTAGGGACGGAGATGCTTTTCCAGCTAGGAGCTGGAAAGATCGTTCGTACTTTTCTTTTGTGGTCGCTAAGGCACGGTTACTGATGCTTCAACAATCTAGGCGCATATGTCGAGGGTTTTTACTTGAGAGCTCACCCTTGTTCTACGTTCTTTCGGTTCTCTATTATATCCTGAGTCTGTATCTCATTTTATATCAAACTATTCAACTAATGGTAAGAGGATAGATTCTTGTTACGAACATCCTGCTAGAAAAGAGTCTCCATCAACAATCCATTCCACAAGACGTCCCAGTCCTTTTCATCAGATATAGTTTCGCAAACGATCAGTTCATTACTGAATCACACAAAGTAGCTCTTAAGGGACTCACTTTTCTCCTGTCTCATATCGTTGAGCTTCCTAGCCAGGGCTTGCCCTATCCTATTTCCTACAAATGCTCCTAGGAAGGCTTGTTTTATCTGTGGCCAATTCCAGATCGATCCTAGTGATGACTTCCTATACCACCGCTTAACAAACCTATCCAAAGTTAGATAGAAGCCTTGGCAATTAAGTGCAAGACTCGCTTTCTTTAGTAGCATTTGTGTCATATACTCACACAAATGGTATATAAGATCTCATTTGCCGTTGTACATCTCCACCATCGATCAAATGAAGTTATCCGGGATCGGTTCCTATCCTTGGATAATGGTATATGTTCATCATCATTGTCCCATTCATGCGACCTTGTAGGTCAAACCTCATATTACTCGCCCAGAGGAGTGTTATACGAGGTATTCAACAAACTTAGAACCCTTCGGCCTTCTCGACGATTGTTCTTCCTATCATGTGAGGTACCTTCCTCTGGAAACCTTTCCTTGACAGACCTATTCCTATGTCATCACTTGTGTTGCTTTTTTGACGTGCTATCACAAGTTTTTGACGCATGTATGTTGCTTTGTCATTGCGAAAAGTGATGTTACCAAGATTAGTGTCATTTTCTTCAGATTTATCCTGGGCGCTCGCCTTCATGTATTCAATCTTTGTTCGCAAAAAAGCGTTATCTGCTATCGGGGCTTTCAAGTTCTCGGCCATTTCCTTAATGATTTTAGCAGTAGATATTTTCGTCTGCAAGCAGCGACGATGTGCTGGAAAAATGTCGGCTTGCTCTTTTGCCGGAGTTTCCTCTCTTAATCTATTAGGATTAGCATCACTTTCTGGAGGACACTCGCTACATTATTCGACTTCCACTTCTGATGCTTTCATTTCCTCCGATTTCTCTTCAACCCGACTCATGATTTCAGATCTCAAGGACTTTGAGCTTTTTTCATATATTTTCATGGTCTACTTGTTCAGGTTTTCTACAGACTGTGCCAATTTACTAACAATAAAAACTAGATTAACAAATCCTCTCACCTAGCCGGACTTTCATCTCCAAATTTACTAGTTTTGATGCTCAAGTAGGAGTTAGAGATAAAATGAATATTTGATAGAGAGGTATTTGAATGGTATGCGTTTCTCTTCAAATGATGGGTATTTATAGATTTTCCTTCAAATTTTGGGGTTATTTGGTCATTTTGGGAAAATAAGAGATAGCGACTTTTTATTGGCTACCTCATAACTGATTTGGTTTAGAGTCGTGCTTTATTTATTAGCACACGTCTTTTATTGATAGTATGTAACCCGCCTGGATTGGGGAGGGAATCAGTGTTTTCATTCCGCTCTCATGTTGCTTTATGTAAGTGTTATGCCCTAGGTCCAATCAACTTTGGACATAAACACTTTGAATATATATAATCAATGCATGTATATGGCAATATCTATTATTTAATTGAATAAATATTCTAATAAATTAAATAATAGA